TTCCGATTTATATCAAGGGATATTAGTCCCATAATATTTGTTTGTTTTTATTTCTCCTTCTATGGACCTAGTGACTGAAGTGATGGCTGGAATGCACAGTGATTTACTACTGGTAATTTATTTTTTTCAGATTCCACGGTTCCCTTCAGTATCTAAGTTACGGTGACAGGTTCGTCCTGCTTTTTCTTCTTTTTTGTTGGTGGTCCAGAAGAGGCATGGAGTACTGGGAGCTGCTGGAGAAGGGACAGACGATTGACGCTTCCACATACGTGACCCAGCTGCGGAAATTGAAAGATCACGTCGACCGTACTCGTGGAAGGAATGCGGAAATCTACTTCCACCATGACAACGCCCGACCTCACACTGCAAAGGCGACCCAGGCCGAGCTGGAGAAGTACGGATGGCTGATGGTCGCCCACCCTCCCTACAGCCCTGACCTCGCTCCTTCTGACTACTGGCTGTTCAGCCACCTGCAGCGCTATCTGGACGGAAAAAAGTTCGAAACAAAGGATCAGGTCAGAAAGGCGCTCGACGACTTCTTCAAGTCCCAGCCTCCGTCGTTCTGGAAGGATGGAATCGACAAGCTGCCTGAGCGCTGGCGTCGAGTAGTGAATGGTGATGGTGCATACTCTCCAGGCTGGTTCATTTTTGAGATATTTACAAAAAAAAATCGTATAAGAACTTATGCGACAACCCAATACAATCATAAACAACAAAAAGAAGCGCACGGTACAAATATAAGTGATACGGGAAAGGTATTTCCAGGTGATTCTCAGTTAAAGGCTCCTGGAGCGAAAGCTGCCTCGGAAATGCCTTGAACTGCATCTACCGAACAGATGCACAAACAGTGATCGATAACATCGTGGTAATACACACATCACTCGGACACAGTGACAATAACAAAAATCGTTCAGAACAGTACATAAATGATGTCATAAACAATAGCAATAGTAACACAAAAACTTCATAATTGAGGTTTAATTAACCAAGCTTGAGGTCATTGAGTCTCATGGAAGTTGGAACTTGCATGGTACAGCCATGATCCCTACAACAAAGAGGGAAGTACTGTAACAATCTGCGATGCGAACATTACCACATAATCTTTCTGAAAAGCATCGCGTTCTTCATGTTTCTTCCATGAAAAACCTTCCTCGTGTTCCTGTCATGGGACTTTCCTCCCACAACCACGACAATGACCGCGACGATCATAACCAACAGTGATGGAAGCGTGACCTGTTCCTATGAGGTCTGTGACAACTCAGTGGAGTCGCAATTGACTCTGTACGGAAACTGACTCATCGCTTTGCCTTGGTATCTGTACAACCGAAAACTAGGAAGAGTGAAGCGTCGGCGTCTAGAGCTAGACCTATACCGGTGTTACGGACTCGGACATCATCTTCTATTGGATGTTCCAGACGTGAAAGTTTATTTCAAGCCTAAATGCATATTCTCATCTATACCACAAAAATGTATGACACAACGCCTTCCGAAATGGCTCGAGAAGGGAAGCATCGGATCTGAAAACGTTGTTCAGATTGAGTTCAAGTTTGATGGAGATTGTTTTGTATTTCGGACTGGGAAAAGATAGGAAGGATAGTACCTGCTGTCTTCGCACTCAATTTGATCCTTCTATCATGAATTCTGTCGTTACAGAGTCAGCGAAGGAGAATTTCATTGCGCTGACAGAGGATTTGTATCTCAACTTTGTACTGAATGGACAATTGTAGTTCTAAAGACACTCCGTGGGAACACGTACTAGTCCCACGTGGGTATGTTACAGGCTGCGTCATAACCAACAGTGATGGAAGAGTGACCTCTTCTTATGAGGTCTGTGACAAATCAGTGGAGTCGCAATGGACTATACGGATAACTGACTCATCGCTTTGCCTTGGTATCTGTACAACCGAAAACAAGGAAGAAGGGAGCATGAAGAGGGCGTCTAGCCACTAAAAGCAGGACCTACACCGGTTTTATGGACTCGAACATCATCGTCTATTGAGTGATTCCAGACTTGACAATTTATTTCAAGCATGAATGCACATTCTCATTTGTACAGTATAATAAAGATATATGACGATTCTTCATTCGTCTTGCTTCTTGCTTCGTCCGCGGAGAGCGCACCTTTACATTTAGGCGATAGTGAAGAAGAATGGATGGTGATTTGGTGGAGGGCAGTCAACCCGGGCGCGCCGCCGAAGAGTATGCAGTCAGTAGGGCGCGTCGCATCTCTGCTCTCGCTAAAGAGTTGGTCCCCTCTTGGATCGATTGTGGGCGGATTGAAAAGCCACCGGTTTCGTTAACAGATGGTGAGATCCTTTCGCACCATTATTCGGGAGAAATGCATTGGTGTATTCAGAGGTCTATCTCCCTCCGTTCCCTCATGCCGGTTATCAGTTCTGCATCGTATGCGGTCGACACGCGAGGTTTCGCCTGCGGGCCCACATCACGAACACCCACAAGGAGTTCAGTGGGGATGACCTCGAGGTGGAGTTGTAATGCTGTTGCGCACAACCTCAAGAGAGCAATCTGCATTTGTGTTCAGGTGGTCATACAGACGAGTCGTGGGATAGTGGAACGGATG